ACTTAACATCAAACAAGCATTCAGGGTGCTGAACCCAAGGCCTAGAATAAACAAACCAAGAGAGACTAAATGATAACACGGGAGAGTGAGGAAAACCTCACAAGGATTATAACCTTGTTATTAATGCCCAGCTTTAGAGGAAAGAGACAGAGACACAGAGGGACAGAGACACAGAGACAGAGAGAGACAGAGACAGAGAGAGAGAGATTGTGCATATGCGTGCTGGCATGTGTGTATATGCTTTTGCAGCGCCACCACGGCATGAGTGTGGAGGTCAGAGGATAACTTGCAGGAGTTGTCCTTTCTTCCACCATAGGATTGAACTCAGGTCCTTTGGTTTTGCAGCAAGCACCTTTACCCACTGAGCCATCTCAAGAGCCCAGCCCCAAGTCTTTTTTTTTTTTTTTTTTTTAGAGAGACAGGGTTTCTCATTGTAGTTTTGGTGCCTGTCCTGGATCTCGCTCTGTAGACCAGGCTGGCCTCGAACTCACAGAGATCCGCCTGGCTCTGCCTCCCGAGTGCTGGGATTAAAGACGTACGCCACCACCGCCCGGCCCAACTCTTTATCTTAAAGAAAATATACATATTCTGTAGAGAACTTGTCAAGTTGGACAGCTCAACTACAGCAGATTCTGAGCTGATGCCCTACGGCAGAGACTGTCAGCTCAGTGCAGGTCAACACCAGGAAATTGGAGTCTGAGGAGGTGACACGGAAGCCCAGAGAGGATATGCACTCAGCTGGAGTAGCACGGAGTGTCTAAGGCGAGACCTTAAGGAGGGAATAATGTCTTCTTGTTTCCCATCCTATCTCAGGCATTGACTGCACTGTAGAATCCTGACCCAGGTCCTCCACAGGGAGGGGGAGGGGCGTTTGACCCCCAAAGGCCTATTTTCCTCTGTGCCTCCCAGGAAATGAGGATTGAGGAGTCCAGGACCAGTGAGATGGCTCCGCTGCCCGGAAGAGCTCCTGCTATGCAAACCTGACAACCTGTGATCCCTGGGAACCATGGAAAGGTGGCTGAAGAGAGCAACTCCAGAGTTGTCCTCTGACCTCCACACATACTCTATGACACACACCTCGGGCCCCCCCCCCCCGCCCCCCGCCCCCCACACACTAAAGTAAATCTAGGTGTGGCATAGGTCACATTCAACTGGAGACCCAAAGATTCCATGGAAAATACGTCATTTTCAAATGGGTCTTGGAGAATGAGTATAAAGGAAGGAGTAGATATACAGGGAAGGAAGTATTTTCCAGCGTGGTAGATCCCACTGTGTGTAAAATGAAGTAAAGAGTCCAGGCTATACAGGGGAGTCAAGACCAAACAACACAGGGCCCCAAATGACAGGCCGAGGGGGTTCATTGAATAAAACCAGGGAACCCCTAAGTAAGAAGGAAGCCTGGTGGGAAGGAGTCAGAGAAAATGTAGGCTTCCAGAAACTGGATCCAGAGGTAGCTGCGGCAACAGTCCAGGGTGCAGGGAGCGTGCACAGGAGCAGGCTGGAACAGAAGTAGTGGGGTGTGTGTGTGTGTGTGTGTGTGTGTGTGTGTGTGTGTGTGTGCAAGAGCTGCAGGGAGGCACACGCAGTGGTGGTGCGCCCCGTAATCCCAGAGTTTAGGAGGCTGAAGCAGGAAGATGCTGTCAGGGAAGGGAAGGAAGAAAAGAGGGAAAGAAAGAGAGAGGGTGCCAGGTGGTGGTGATGCACTCCTTTAATCCCAGCACTTAGGAGGCAGAGGCAGGCGGATCTCTGTGAGTTCGAAGCCAGCCTGGTCTACAGAGCAAGTTCCAGGATAGCTAGGGAAACCTGTGAAAGAAAGAAAGGAAAGAAAGAAAGACAGACAGAAAGAAAAGAAAGAAAGAAAGAAGGGAGGGAGGGAGGGAAGGAGGGAGGGAGGAAGGAAAGAAGGAAGGAAGGAAGGAAGGAAGGAAGGAAGGAAGGAAGGAAGGAAGGAAGAAAAAAGAAAAAAGAAAAGAGAGGGTGACACAGACCTTGGGAGGTGAGGGGGTACAATTTGAACCAGACAGTTGGGTTGTGAGAATTGTCCCGTCAAGTTGTCAGGTCTTGTGGAAGTGACGGGAGCAACAGAGAACATTAACCAGGGTAGAGACTTGCCCAGGACTGACGTGGTCAGGGACAATAGGGAGGAGTTGCCGTTGTCCACCTGGAGATATGGAACCCAAGCTCAGGAGGGGGGCTCAAGGGACAGAGAGCATCCTGGTGAATAGTTAGCTGGTGGAAGGTACCACCGCACATCAGGGGACAGCCGAGAAAGTAAGAGGTAGATAGATGAGGGACCTTCCAAGTGAACCGGGACAGTATCTCAAGAATGTCCAGGACAGTATCTCAAGAATGTCCAGCAGTGTCAGAGACCACAGGAGCCCAGAGGTTGAGAAAGGGAGTGGTTACTGGATATGTGGGTGTGGCTGTCACCTTCTGACTCACAAAAGGAGTTTCAGGGACAGAAGTCAGGCTGCAAACAGGTTAAGGGGCCTGGGGGCAAAGAGCAAAGGGCAGGAGGCAGCTGAGAGCCAGAGGAAAGGAGGAGATGGGAAGCAAGGATGGTCTGGCGCCCTGCAGAGATTGGGGGGGGGAGGGGACAGAAACCCAGAGGTTCAGTGTGAAAATGCTTGGAGACTCAAAAAGAGGATTTAAGAGACCCTGCTAAGGAGCTGGAAGTGGTGGTGCCCACATCTGTAACCCAGCACTCAGGCGATAGAGGCAGGAAGATTAGAATTCCAAGGCCAGCTTTGACTATAGAGTGAGTTCATCAGTCTAGGCTACATTAAAACGTGTCTAAACAAATAAATAAAGATCTTGGTAAGAAGCCATGACCTAGCCAGGCGGTGGTGGCACATACCTTTAATCCCAGCACTGGGAGGCAGAGGCAGGCGGATCTCTGTAAGTTTGAGGCCAGCTTGGTCTACAGAGGAGTTCCAGGATAGCCAGGGCTACACAGAGAAACTCTGTTTTGAAAAACAAAAAAGAAGCCAAGACCTATGATCTTGTCATCCCTGACAAACTGGAAAGGAGCGAGCATGGAGGGAACCTCAGCTCACTTTCCTTGTCCCTTCTGGGGGCTCCGATACACGGGGAAAGGGCGAAGACTTCTAATACCCTCAAGGCCAGCCTGGGGAAAGCAAGGGGCCTTTTCCCTGTAAGGGACTGTGGTCCTGGTTGGGGAGGATCTGTGTGTACCCCAAACCCAGCCCATGCTGTAATCATGTTTCCTCGGCAACTTTCCTTTTTCCGGGACTGTTCTGTAATAGGTTGGATGGCAGAACCCCCAAAGATACGTCCTAACCCTCAAGAACCTATAAATGTGGCCTTCTTTAAAAAAGGGGCTCTTGCAGGGCCAGTGGTCCACACTTGTAGTCCCAGCACTTAAAGATGCAGAGGCAAAAGGATCAGAGGAAGTTTCAGTTCAACCTCGTCTATATCACCAATCCCAGGCCGGCCGTCAAGAGCTACATAGTAACAGCCTGTCTCAAAACAGTAGGAAACAGTGAGTTTGGAATCACACAATCAACTCAGAATACCGGGTGGAGTCTAAAGTTAAAAACAAACATCTTTGGGAGAGGAGGCTCCTGAACAGGAGGCAGGGAATGCCTAAGGCCATTAAAAGCTGGAAAGCAAGGGACTCTCCCCTAGAGCCTCGGGGAGGAGCGGGGAAGCAGAGCCCCTATGCTGTCATTTTGTCCTGGCCTGTTCAAGTGTGAGTGGGAAAAATCCCTGTTTTAAAACCGTCACCTCTGTGCTAATGTGCTGTGGTAGATCGAAAACCAAATTCTGCTCCCTACTCTGTAAAATGTCTGGAAGTTTCCAGGGATGCTTGGAGCTGGAAGAGTCTTCAAGTTAAACCTTGCCTGGAGGGGAGTTCTAGGTCTGACCAAAAGGTGTCTGGGGAACAAACCTTTCCAGTGGGGGGAAGGGAGCCAAGCTGGCGAGTCCTTCCAGCTCCTCAGAGAAGGCACTTTCTCTGGAGCTGCTCTGCCCGCTGCTTCAGGCAGGTTAAAAGGCACAAAGCCCATCCCACCGTTCTACAAATGGGGCACCTACCTTCCTAGCTTCTCCCGGTAATCACCCCTTTTTCAGAGTGTTTCTCCCCACTCCCCAAATCTGCCTTTTTCCTTCCCGTTTTCATTCCTGGGGGGCAGGACGACAGATACCCTTGAGCCCCAGTGGAATGGAAAGCACTCTCCCACCCCCCTTCTCCTTCCCCAGGACACAGCTGGAGGGGGGAGGGGAGGTCAGCAGGGTTCATAAAGGCCAGATGTTAAGGAAAAAGAGAGCCAAAGCGCCCACCCACTCCATCTCTCCCCTCCCCACCCTCAGGGAAGGAAGAGAGCTCTAAAAACACTTTCGAGGTCCAGAAGAGTTTTGCTCAAGGATCCGCTCTATGCAAACGATAAACTTTCTACAAAGCACCTTCTCAGCAAAGGAGACCTGTCCCTCCCCTGTGTCACGTGGGAACTGTTCTCCCTCGCCCAATTTTGGGGACGAGGGGTGTTACTTGTGTAGACACAAAGGACCACTAGGTCCCCCAATAACGGGCAGATCTCAAAGCACTGCCACCCTGCACACCCCACCCACCCACCCCGGAACCTGATCTTTCACTGTAGAGAAAGCTACTCCACCCTTCGGACTCCAGGAGTCCTCCTGACTGGGGAGTGGTCCAGGCCTAGCTCCTCCGGGCCTGCAAAACAGAACCTCTGACCCTAAACCTAATCCCCAGGCCCAGCCCCCTTCTGATCCATCAGATCCCTGACAACTCCCAAAATGCCTGAGGCTTAAAAAAAAAAAAAAAACTGCTTAAGGTGGCCCGCCCGGCCCAGGTTCTCTCCAAACCCAAGCCTCCAGGACAAGGGTCCTTCCGTTTGCCTCTGCAGCAAACCTCCGTCGTTCAGGGGCTGAGCCTGGATGTCTGAAAAATGGATTCAGACTAGCCTTCTAACTCCACCCCATCCCATCCATGAATTGGGGGAAGAGTACCTCGAAAGACGCCTTGTTTGGTCTGATTTTATTGATTTCTTCCACCTTCCATTATTTTCCCAGAGAATTTTTGGCCCCTTCCCCAGGCAAAACCAGCTTTGGGCCACACAATTGGGCCCTCCTCCTCTTTATGGGAGGAGAAAAGTGGGGCTGAAGTCTCTTCCACCCATCAAGCCTTATGGCAAAGGGAAACTCCACAACTGGACAAAAGGGTAAAGTCTGCTGGCTGAAGACTGAAGCTCTCGCCAACCGGAGAATCACCTGAACTTGGAGGGGGAGGGGGGGGCTAGGAACAGAAAAGGAAGGGGGTGTAAAGGGTTAAAGGTCTGAGCTGTGGGGGTGGGGGATGCCCCCAGGGAGCTGTCAATCACTTTCCCACCCCACCACAGTCCCCCACATCCCTAAACTGGCCCTCAAGCATAGAAACAACCAGTTTGTCCATCAAGGTCCGTCCCTCTGTCCCTTTCTTTTGGTCTCTGGGCAGTGGTTGCCTTGCTCCCCTGGGGTGAAGGCCCGGGGCGCCCGCTGAGAGGGCAGAGATGGGGCTAGTCAGGCAGCCTCCTACAGTTAAGGCTTTTTCTGGACGCCAGCCCTTGGTTCCTCCGCAAAGATGAGGAGGAAATATCACCCGGACCTCCCAGGTGCTTGAAGATCACTGTCACTTGAGGTCTCTCAGCACACAGTCCATAAAACGCAAAAAAAGAGACAAATTTGAGAATCAAGGCTCCCTCCTGGAGTCCTCAGTCTGCCCGGGGCCCCAACATGCTCCTGGGTAGAATAGGTCGAAAGCTCAGGGTTCTTCCAAGTTGACCCACCAGGATTTGAGGCCTGGGGGCTCGGGGACAGCGGGCCCTCCCATCTGCCACCTCCACAGCGGGTGACCAGGCGGAGGCTTTGCGTCTCCCTGGAGGCGAAGCGAGGAAGCCGGCCCTAAGTCTCCGTCCTCCTGCACCACCAGGGCTGGGGGACAGGGAAAGCAGTCGAGGAGGCTGAAGGTGCTCGAGGTGGGGAGCGTCGGGGCGGGCCGGCGGGGCTGCACGCTGCGCGGGGGCGGCGCCGGCCGCCGGCGTTTCTTGGCGGCTCCCCGGGCTTTGGCTGCGGGCCGCTCGGGCCCTCGGCGCAAACTTGGAGTGTCCAGGGCAAAGCCCTTCGCGTAACACCAAAGTTTCGAGCGGCGGATCAGGCGATTGAAATGTTCCTGGCGGAGATCACCGGGCGCGTCCGGCGCTGCGTCTGCCGTCGAGGGGCTGAGCGCGGGTGCCTCGGGCGCGGCCGGAGCAGGGTCTCCACCCGCTGCAGCCGCCGAGCCCGGCAGAGGCTGCTCCGGAGACGCAGGTTCCGGGGAGAGGCCCGCAGGTGGCGGCGGAGGCCGGGAGCTATGCTCATCAGGCGGACTGCTGGCTCCATCAGGCTGGGACTCCAGACCCGGGGCTGGCCTGGGCGGGGACCAGGAGGAGCTGGTCGGAGATTCCCGAGGACGCCGAGGAGCAGGGCAGCGGCTGGGAGGTGCGCAGGAACCAGCTCCGAAGTGCGGGAAGCCGCCTCCGCCCTCTTCCTCCTCTCCTCCGCCTGGGCACACCGCGATGTCTGCATCCTCGCGGACCGCGGAGCTCACGTCGTTCGGTCGCCCGGCCTGTCCCCCGAGGTGCTTCAGGCTATTCGCGGCCCGGCCGCCGGTGCATGGCGAGGCCCGGGGGTCCAACAGCACCGGGGTCCGCGGCGCCAGCTCTTCAGGCCCCAGGCCCCGGGCGGACGACCGAGGTTTGGCAAGGGCGCAGAAGGCGAGGGCACGTAGGCACAGCGGGGAGAACTCCGGGGTCCCCCGACGCGGCTTCCGGGGCGTGGGCGAGCAGGGAGACCCCCGCGGAGACGCGGGCACTGCCAGGCGGGGAGGAGGACACAGAGTCTCCATGGAGCAGCCTTGGGGGTCGCCCACTGCGGGGGCCCTGGTCCCAACGGCGGGATGCCCCGGCGGCCCGAAGAGCCCGCGGGCCAGGGGAACATCGCCCCCCGTCGACGGGGAGGTCTGTGTTCACGGGCGCCCCGGGCCCGCCACCCGGGGCCCGCGGCGGCTCTCCGGCTCCCTCCGCGGTCTCGTCACGCGGCCCTCGCGGCGGCCGGACTCCTGGGTCCCCGCGCGTCCCCGGCGCGATCGGTCGTGCTTCCTGCCGCCGCCTTCCCGGCGCGCCCCCCTCAACGCCGAGGCGGGGGCAAACAAAGCGGCCGGCGCTCACGGCCGGCGGGAAGGACCCCGGCCCGGCGCCCGGTGCCCGGGCCCAGCGGCGGGGAGGGCGCCTTCCGCCCTCTCGGCTTCTTTCTTCCCCGCTGGCTCCGGAGACCGCGTTATAGAGAACTGCCCCCTCGCTGCCCCAATACCAGCGCCTCGGCTGCGAGCCCGCCTCTGATTGGCCACTGCTGCTGTGACGTCACGCAGACCCCACCCCTCGGGCGGCACGGCCCCCGTCCCCATTCCGCACACAGATACACACACGTGGACCCTGAGCTGCTGGGCTGCAAGGCAGAGATCCGGGGGGCGCGTGGGTCCGGGCGCGCTCGGGTGGAAGTGCGAGGGACCAGACGCGACGCTCCTGGTGGCCTGCTGGCATCCCGGAGTCATTTTACCTGGTCGCAGATCCAGGCACTCGTTTACCCCGTAGCAATCGCGGGTTTTCCGTATCTGTAAAATGGAAAGTTTGTTTCTGCCCCTTGGAAGCTTAATGGAGCTCGGTGAATTCACAGCGACAAGCTCAAAAACAATGTGGAGGGAAAGGATGAAACCAAGCGTCGATGGCTTACGAGCTTGGCGTAGCAAGGAGTCACTGTTAAGAGTGTACTGTGGTCTTTGCTGGGGGTGGAGGGGGGGGCTAGAACAGGGCCTGGCACCCAGTGAACTCAAAACAAACAAAAACCGCTCGTAGAGTGAGTGGTTAGGAATTCGCTGCGTTTGTGCAAGATGTATAAAGGAAAAAATAAATTCGGAGGAAGGGAGCTTCATCAGGTCCACAGAAGACAATAAGCTGGCTTTCTCGTTTCCTTCTCTCCGTGAAGTATGGAAGTTCCCCACCTCTTAACGGAATTCCAACGCGCTGGCACAGTCGGGAGCCTCCAAATCCCGGGATTCGACCCTCCGAATCCTGAGCTGCCCGAATGGGTAGAAAGGGCCAAAGGAGACGCACAGACTCTTGCTTTTCACCCACAAAAGAAAAGTGAATTCCCACGACATACTCTGATAATGCAAACACCTCTCACATCTCTTCTTTAGTTCCTACACAGCCTCCTCCTAGTCTGTGGAAGAGGCTTGTTCCTTCGTGTTGATCTCTCTGAGTCTAGAATGAGCCAGTGTGCTGGCTGCACAGAAGAGCCCAGCAGCCGGTAGAATTCAGTCTTGATCACTGCTATATCACTACTGCCCAGAATGCACAGTAAATATTTGTGATTGAGTGAGTGAGTGAAGGAGTCGGTGAGCTGTTCATCATCATTGTAACAGGTTGTTAGATACAGTTGCTTCCCATCTGCAGAAGTAAAAGAGATTGATGTAGGAGTTAGGGGTAGAATGAGACCCAGGGATACAGAATCATTTCCTGGCCAGGACAAAGGAGTGGTCTCTCTCTCTCTCCCTCCCTCCCTGATAGGGTCTCACTAGGTAGCTTAACCTAGTCTAGACCGCCATCCTCTTGCCTCAGCTTCCTGAGCGCTACACTTCCAGGCATGCACAGTAGGTGTTTTTCTGTGACAGGACAACGGATGCAGTTTGCATCCTCATCCTCCCAGCTGTGACAATAGGGACATTGTCTTTCTAAATCACATCCAATTAACACCTGGGAGGAAAGGCATAGGATGGATTCCCGCACTCACAAACACCCTGCCTGACCTTGGCAGAGGCCCAAGGTAAAGTCCCAAAGTGGGGCTTGTGGAAGGAGGGGGTTCGATGTTCTGATCCCCAACTCCCCCACCCCGGGTGTCCTCTATAAATCAACTCTGGGACAACTGTCATGAAGGGGGTTCTCCCAGGTTACCTGGTTGAGCTGGATCTAACCTCCAAGGCTCCTTTGCCCCTAGAGCCCTGGCCTCACCTTAAACACACACACACACACACACACACACACACACACACACACACACGTGTGCACATGCTGGAGGAAAGCATGGAAGGCAAATGATCTGCACTGGGAAGGAGGCTGGAAGCCTCAGCAGGGCTTTCTGGCTCGGTGGGAGAGGCTTCTAGTTCCCTGCTTTTGAGAAGTCTTGGCCCACTGCAGAAGCCTGGCCTGGGAGGCTCCTTTCTCCTCCCTTTTACTCTGGAGTTTCTCGAATTTGCAGCCCTGCACCCAGCACTGTGTGGATCTGTCTGTGAATAAATCAGTGACTCTTACGTAACAATGCAGCTCACAGGCCTCCTCCTTTTCCCACTCCAAAAGCTGCCAGCTCCCCAAACCTGAGTTTAGGGCTTTAATGAAGGGGGTCAGTGCTGTTAAAGAGTCCTGCGCTGGAGGAGAAATCCCTTCCACCTCTTCCCAGAAGACATGGAAGCAGTTGAAAACCCTGAGGGTAACACGTCACAGCTAAAATGATCTGCCGTCAAGGCGCCATTTTTTTTTTTTTTAGAAGACTTGGTGGGGGCAGCTATACAACCCTGAGCAGGATTGCCTAGATACTCTGTGCTTCAGTGTCCCTTTCAGTAAAATGGGACAACTGTGGTTTTCTGACAACATCGACAGCAGAGTTGAACATGAAGGGACCCATCATCACCAATCCCTCACGACGGCTGGCCCAGCTGCTGCACTTCCCACAGTGAACATTAGAGGGCACTCGACCCATCCTCCGCCTGCTACAGGAGGGGTGGGTGGCTGCTTCCCCTACAGAGACAGGCTGGGGTCTGGGTCCTACATTACACCTCTCCAGAGGAAGGGAAAAAAGAAACAGGAAGAATCCCTGGGGGCTAGCCCCAAAGGCATTCCTTCTTGGTTGCCCATCTAGTTTTTTGTTTTGTTTTATTTTGATATTTACTCACTTTTGTTTTATGTGTATTTAACCTGGTGCCTGCGGATGCTAGAAGAGGGAGCTGGATCCCCTGAAACTGGAAGTACAGATGATTGTGAGCCACCATAACAATGCTGGGAATTGAACCCAAGATCTCTGGAAGAGGGACGAGTACTCTTAACTGCTGAGCCATCTCTCCATCCCCCACAGCCTGTCTAGTTCTTAACCAAGACAGAAGGAGCCGTGTTCAAGGGTTTTGAAGGGAGAACCCTCCCTGGCTGAATTTATTCCTAGAGAAGATGGGACATGGATTGCCCTAGCCTTCCAGCCCCACAGAACTTCCCAGCGTTTTGTGTTTCCTTATCTCTAAGAATTCTGCTGCTTGTTGTCCATAACTGCCTTCTAGCTTAGACAAGCTTGTTATTTATTTATTTATTCAGTTTTGTGACGGTATCTCAATTAGTAGCCCAAGCTGACTATGACTCCAGATCCTCCTGGCCTGAGCCTCCAAAGTAGATGGGATTATAAGTGTCTACCACCAGTATAAAAAATACTCTATTTTTTAAAACTTTCTAGTTGTTTTTGTTTGGTTGGTTGTTTTTTATTTCTTTCTTTTTTTTTTTTTTAAATTTGGTTTTTCGAGACAGGTTTTTTCTGTGTAGCTTTGCTCCTTTCCTGGAACTCACTTTGTAGACCAGGCTGGCCTCGAACTCACAGAGATCTGCCTGCCTCTGCCTCCTGAGTGCTGGGATTAAAGGTGTGCGCCACCACTGCCTGGCTGTTTTTTATTTCTTGAGACAGGGTTTCTCTGTGTAGCCTTGGCTGTCCTGGAACTCACTTTGTAGACCAGACTGCCCTGGAACTCACAGACATCAGCCTGCCTCTGCCTTCTGAGGGCTGGGATTAAAGGTGTGCACCACCACCACCTGGCTTAAAATTATTTTTGTGTGTATGTATGGGAATGTGCATGTTCATATATATACAAGTATATTTACATGTGTGGCCACATATTAAAGTTGGAAGTCAGCTTCCAGTGTTTCTCAGGAGCCTTCCACTTTCTAAAAATTTAACTTATTGTCTGTTAACACCTTGTTTTTTTGAGATGGGGGTCTTTCTTGGGAATGGAAGCTTGAAGATTAGGCTAGGATGACTGGTCAGTGAGGCCCGAAGTCAGCCTGTCTTTACTTCCCTGCACAAGGATTACAAGCCCAGACTCAAGCTACCATGCTGGCTTTTAAAATTTTTATCGTATTTATTCATTTATTTTTTTTATTTTATTATTTTTTTTCCAGAGCTGAGGACCAAACCCAGGGCTTTGTGCTTGCTAGGCAAGCTAAATCCCCAACCCCTATTTATTTGTTTTTAAAGATTTATTCATTTATTATGTATACAGCATGTATGACTGCAGGCCAGAAGAGGGAACCAGATCTCATTACAGATGGCTGTGAGCCACCATGTGGGTGCAGGGAATTGAACTCAGGACCTCTGGAAGAGCAGCCAGTGCTCTTAACTGCTGAGCCATCTCTCCAGCCCCAAATTTTTATTCTTTATTCTTACATATTATTATTGTGTCTATATGTGCATGCACGGTGACAGGTGCATATGTTGAAGGCAGAGGACAACTCTGTCATGTCGCTCTCTCATTCACCTTTCTGTGGGTCCCAGGGATCACACTCAGGCCTCACACTTGTGTGAAATGCATTGTGCTAACAGCCATCTCTCCAGACATTAGATAGGAGTTTTTCATTTTCTTTCTTTTCTTTCTTTTTTTTTTTTTTTTTTTTTTGATTTATTTATTTATTTTGTATACAGTGTTCTGTCTGCATGTGTGCCTGCAGGCCAGAAGAGGGCACCAGATCTCATTACAGATGGTTTTAAGCCACCATGTCGTTGTTGGGAATTGAACTCAGGTCCTCCGGAAGAGCAGCCAGTGCTCTTAACTGCTGAGCCATCTCTCCAGCCCTAGATATGAGTTTTTCTAATGTATAAATCCATATTTAGCTGGGCAGTGGTGGCGCATGCCTTTAATCCCAGCACTCAGGAGGCAGAGGCAGGCAGATCTCTGTGAGTTTGAGGTCAGCCTGGTCTACAAAGTGAGTTCCAGGAAAGGCGCAAAGCTACACAGAGAAACTCTGTCTTGAAAAACAAAACAAAACAAAAAAAATCCATATTTAACCCTGTGTCTAATGAAACATTTTTTTTTTTATTTTGTTTTGTTTGTTTGAGACAGGGTCTGGTTATATAATCCTGGCTGGCTTGGAACTTCTTTTGTAGACCAGGTTGGCCTTGAACTCCTGGAGCTCTGCCTGCCTCTGCCTCCCT